TTGTCTCTAAGCAATCGCTAACCAATTTCGGATTACCTTTTTAATTGCTTAAGGCTTAAGCGTATTTGTATTGGGCTTACAAGTCTTTTACAGGCCAGTGCATTTCTTAATTTTCTGCAATTTATTTCGCTTTTAGTGTGTGGGTGCGATAAGCGGCTTTGATCAGGTTCATGTTAGGACCGAGTGGTTTAAGGAAGTTGGCAAACAAATTTTAAAAACGAGTCCTCACAAGTTGGGTCTCAAGCAACACACACAACTCGGCAGCAACTCAACTGCTGCGCAACATAATCAATGCGACGCCCCAATAAAATCGCAATAGATTTTGAGCCAGAAATATTTAAGATATATAGATATCAATATTTAAAAGTGCGAACAGAGTAAGATATAATAGCTGATAAGACTTTGCTGATATATCAAATGTATAACAACTTTCTCCATATCCTGCAGCTTTTAGCCTATACTCAAGAAATTTTGCATAGGCTCCGCCGAGATTCTATTCTTTAATATATCTTAAATAAAGTAACTATTTACAAGCTGTATCATACTTCTAAAATATAAGCATATATGTATAAATAATCAGCCATGTTTCTTCTGGGCATTTAAGCTTATTATTTCCTCTTTACAATACTTCTACAATATATCAAATATTGGCATTACTTTTCAGAGTAAATTTCTTTGTTACTTGGCGCACGTTTTAAGCTTAATTGCTTGCAGATTTCACATTAAAATACTTGCCAACACCACAGTTAGAGGACGGCAAAGTCAAAGCCAGATAAAGAACTGAAAGGGAAATTAAATAAAAACTAAATATGATTGCCAAAATATTTGAGGGACTGACAAGCGACCAGAAACCCGCAATTAGTTAAACGTTGCACGTTGCCCAAGAGAAATTAACGAGAACTGAGCGACCTGCCCCCCAAATGCCAGCGACTGCGCAAGCGGCAGCGGCAGCGGCGACATGTGCCCCAAGTATCACACTGTCCCCGTGCATAACATCAATCCCGATAATCAAAAGCATTCCATTTAATTTGAACTTTTTGCATGGTGATCGACACGATACGTCCGGACCACGACCGTGCCAAATCAAAGAGTCCAAATCTAAACCAATAATAAAGTTAAATCGATAATTGAGGTCAAGCAAAAGGTATTTTTGGGCCTGATAATATTTTGTATATCGGAGCATTTGGCGCGCATACGTGATCGTTTAACTGTAAATTAAATATAATTTACCAATAAGTATAATTACAATACGTAGTTTTGTTTTTGTTGTGTTCCTTTGGTTCGGTTTTTTCTGTGCGCAAATCTGGCATTCAGTGAAACTTACGCTTGCGATTTGGCTGATCCCTTAAGCCACGCCAGACGCATAAATCATCAAGCAAAGCATTTTTGGATCGATAACTGTTCAGTCTGATCCTCTAACCGTGAGATCGTTTGCCGATTTGTCCGTCTGTATAAACGTGCCACGCAGTTAATGTTGGTTTATCTTTCTGCCACGGTTGATCGATCACGCTCTTTTTGTGCGGCTGCATTTAATTAAGCTCTAAATTAAAATTTGCCAGCGTATATCAAATGTTTTCTCTATTTTTTGCTCAAACTGCAGAAGACACATCATGATTAGAGCATTAACTACATTCAATACCGCATCCAATTTAACTAGAAAGTATGTTGTTAGCAAATACGGCCTCTTTATGAAGTTATTCACTTATTGAAAAAAAACTAAGTAATTTTCGATTGCTTTTTGCCAAAACTATAAACTTAGACAAGGCTTTATTTATACATATGCATCCATCAAGATTTATCCATTCTTGATCAGCATCAACAGTCGAGTCAATCTGATGATGTATGAACTTTAAAATGCAGTTTCTCGAAATATCAATAATTGCACTTTTTCTAGAGAGCTTAAAGCTAGATTTATTTAAAAATTACTTAAAATGTTCTCTTTTCTTATCACTGCTAGCCGTTTGCTAGTCTGCTATCATACTGGCATTCCCATCTAAATTGGGGCATATAAACGTTCACTAGTACAAGTGTCTTAATATGCAAGAATGTGGTATCGATTTTTATTCAATGACTTGAGGGTGAAATGGAAAATGAAATAATACAGGGTTACAGATATGACAGTGATTTGGCTGACTCTCCTGGTTACGTGGCAATTGCAAAATTGATGAAGTCAGGATGCTGTCATATGTTTCTGCTGCTTCAGTATGTAGGCATACTCAACGATACACAATCCATCTTATTGCTTGGGTTGTTAATGAATCCGTACAATTGTTTGCCTTTGGGACTTACAAGTCAAGAACCGTACAATCACTAAACAATTTTTAATTCGGATGCCAGCATGAATCCAACTACCAACTGTGTAATTTGTTTCAAGGAACATCCATTTTGGTATTTTATACTATTTTTACTTTTAAGTTGGTTTTTAGGTAGCGTGTGATGCCGACTTCAACACTGAGATTCTATGTTTGTGGATTTCAAAAGAATATTCGTATTCTTCACCGTATGGGTTCATGATTTAAACCAAGGCCTCGGTTTAATTTTCGGTTCGCGAACCTGGTATATATAGTTCAATCTATTCAATTTAATTGTTTCTAGGAATTTTGAAATAAAATGTTTAAGTAAGAAAAAATAAGAATATAGTCTGTTTGGGAAAAAATGAATTTTTTATTCAAAAATCCGTTCTAAGGTTCGGTTAATGGTGAATATAATGAATGAATAAAATGAATGAAATGAAATAAAATGTAATTCTTGAATCAGTAGATTTTTATTGCCAATGTCATTGCATTTATTGCATAATGGTTATGACCAGCGCATATCAGAAACGGAATTGGCTAGAATGGCCGATGCTTTTATTACCTTGGCAAAAAAGGCAACAAGGGTAGACTGAGAAGGTAAATAGTTAGATGCGGATTTTATTACCTTTATTTCCATAACATAAAGCCCGATGTGATCCAAAGCAGATACGATTTCTTTGGACAGAAGTCTGACGCTCAATGTCTTTAATAACAACTTGCAGAGTTTCCATTGGAACGTAGAATGAAATGATATTTTCTTAAATTAATCAGTTAGCGATCTGCAGTATTTATTGCATTTTATACAAAGCGACATAACTCCGCGCGGAGATATGACGTTCCAAAGCGACATAACTCCGCGCGGAGATATGACGTTCCAAATCGACACACCTCCGCGCGGAGATATGACGTTCCAAAACGACATAGCTCCGCTTGGAGATATGACGTTCCAAAACGACATAACTCCACTTGGAGATATGACGTTCCAAAACGACATAACTCCACTTGGAGATATGACGTTCCAAAACGACATAACTCCGCGCGTTTTTTTTTCAAAATCGACGTCGGTGCGAAAATCTAAACTTTTTCGATGATTTTTTTTTTAATATCTCGGGTAAATAATGTCTGATTTTAAAATGTTATACCTTTTTGAATGCGTACGGATCCCTACCATCAATTGGCATTCAAACAAATTAATCATCGATAGGTTGAAAAATGTTGTTAACAAAAAACCGATTCTTTCGTAAATTCAGCATTTTTGATGATTTTTTGGAATATTTCCATCAAATTATGTCCGATTTTGCAATTTCATACCATTTTTGACTCGTAAGGATCAGTTCTATCGATTGGCATCAAAAAAAGGAAATCCAAAATTTTGACCCAAATCGACAAAATGGCAAGGGGTTACATCACGCTTTTTTTTAAAATCAAGGGTATAAGGGTATATTGTATTTGTGCAAAATCCAAATGTATGTAACAGGCAGAAGGAAGCTTCTCCGACCCCATAAAGTATATATATTCTTGATCAGCATCAATAGAATATATATATGCATTTGATGTTGGCAGAAGAGGGTTCTTACTTGTTATTAACTGTCTCAGCCTATGTTAAATAAATAAAGGCCCCTAATTTCTTTAGATGCTGCTCCACATTACTAAAACATCAAAGTTAAAGCCAACTTCGACAGTCAAAACATTTGTTTCCTTACCCACCAGTTGATTGCCCTCCAATTAAAACAAAATAGTGCATTTATGCATTTGCAATAATAATTTATTATGTATTACTTTTAAACTTCACTTTTTGTTAGGGTTGATTTTCTCTTGTTGCTGATTTTCTGTATTTTTTCTGCATTATTTTAATGGTATTTATTGTAATAATTTGTATATTTTTGCAGCGAGCGACAAATGTTGCACAATTAGTTAACACTATTGTTTCAATGTATTATCCTTTAGATATTATTTTTAGTGACTATTGTGACTAAATTTAATGTAATGTTCATATTTTTAGTATATATATATATATATATATATAAATTAGCATATGAAGCGTTAAAATATATATTTAATGTCGAGTTTATAACACATTTTCCAATTAAGAGTGTATTTATGTCTAATTATCTATATTTATTTATATATTATTATTACTTTAAATTGTATATGGTTTAATGGGTAAGCATGTGAAATACTTGAAGTGTTTACTTTATAAAATATAGCTAAATATAGCTTAATGCGCTTCTAAGTTAATAAATAAATTAAAACAAATTAACCCCAGCTTACTCGCGCCAATACCAATATTTAAATATGTACCTATTTAAAACACTAGAAAGCGCTTTATAAAATATTTATACATACATAAGTACGTATAACAAACTAAGTATATATTATGCTTTTGTAGTTCGAAGCTATGATAAAATGTGTGGCTTAATTCTCAATGCTAAGTATGCCAACTAGTAGAAGCCAATAAAGGCAGCCCTGCACTACTTTTTTAAAAGCCTTTACATGCCTATATACAAAATGCTAGTAGCTATCCATAAATCTAAAGCATTCAACTGGGTTATATCTATGCTTTATATGTTGGTATCGGAAGTAATTTATTTTCGCTATTTAAAAGTATCTACAAAATAGCCGTTCCAACATTTGCAACGCTTTTTGCACGAACATTCTCAATATTCATAACTGGTTTAAATTGTTCAAATATATATATATATATATATATATATTTGTATATACATAAGATTGCTCTAATATGTTGGAGTTCTGCATTTTGGTCCGGCCGCGCTCACAAGACGCGCACTTCTCAATGCCGCCACCTGGATTGCACTTTGAGATCAAATATCCTTGTCGCCTTTGGCAACAGCTGACCGCATAGAAGCTTAGTTGGCACTCCCAAAGAGCACCGAGTTCTTGTAATACGCCGTCGGCCTCTCCGACAACGGACTTTTCACATCGCGCTCAGCATTCGCTGCACGTGTCTTGCGCTCCATTTCCAGCTCCTGTGCGAGGGATTCTTTAATAACAAATGTTAGGAAAAAGCATGATGGAATATTATCAACTAAGTTTCTTGGCCTTAAATTAATCATTTATTTTAATATAGCGAATTTTCTAGGCATGTTCTTAAGAGTTTTTATCCTTGCGGGAAAAGTTTATTCCGCGCATCAACGACATTTGCACACAACCATTTTACCCTTCTTTTCTACATTTTCTGAAACTTGCAGAATATTTTGTTGAAAAACATCCCCCTTGCTTGGAAAACAGGTCTACCCACAAGCTCTGAAACCTTGATATTTACTTCTAATGTAGCTTATTGAATATTAAATGCACATCAAGTATTATTAACTAGTTTGATTACATCGAAGTCCAGCTGATTCGCTGTTTAAATGTTTTTTTCTGTGCCCTTTGTGAATTTATCAGATTTATCACGGTCCATGTGGCTTTTTAAATCGGTAAAGCACAATAAGATGGAATTTTTTTGAAGACATCGATAGCTAGCTCTGGGTTCGTAAAATCGAATATAATCAAAATAAACTCTCTTTATTTTGAGCACATTTCGGAGCTTATATTTGATTAAGTTAGCCGAGAATGCCCTTCCCAGCCAGTTTCTTTGGCAACTGGGCGCTGTGTTCAGAGTATCTTCAAGTCGGGCACTTTCGACTGGAGCAGTGTTACATGTTTGAGCCAAACAATTTGTGAAAAACAAACAACTGTTCCGATTAAAGGTTCGGTTCAATAAGTACAAGAAAAAATAATATGTGTTCGGTTTTTTGCGGTGTCTTATTGGTTGCGGAATTATAAAACTGCGACGGAATTTGATTATCGACATCTTGTTATCTTTCAGTTCTTTTTTGGAAGGAAGCCTGGCTAACTAAGGAAAGGAGTATATCGATTTGTGGATTGTCTGTCTTGTAAATCTGTCCGTCTGTGCCTATAAGTGCAATTCATGCGAGTGGCTGAAGATTCGCGTCGGAAAAATTCCAGCTCAGCTTTTAAGCTAGCAATAAGTGGTAGCGGGCATTCACGGATGACCCCTCTTAAAAATGCAAGGACTTATCAGGACGGAATTCTTGTAATGCAACTCACCCGAATAATTTTGCCAGAAGGCGCCAGTGGCCATCAGATCGATGCCTGGATAGCTCCAAGTAGCCTTGCCGTTGCCAGTAGCAGCTGTGGCTGCAGCGACAGCGGCTGCTGCTAAGCTGCCCTCTGCAGCGGCGGTAACAGAAGCAGCAATGGGTGGTTGGTCCTCGCGATCACGACTGGAGCAGCGCGGTTCATTATCGCGGACAGCGCTGCTGCACTGCTGGCGCTCCATGGAGCCTTCGTGATCGGAGTGAGGCTCGCGTTTAAAGTGGGTAGGGGGATCCGAATGTGTGGCGGATGCCGCCTGGACCGTTTGACTGGTCACGTCACATGAGGAGCTTAAGGACTTCTCAGACTTATCACTGCCGCCACGACTGCCGCAGTCCGTATCTATGGAGTTAAAAATAAAACAGAGGGCGCTGTGTTGGTTATCAAAGCGTTGGGCGCAGGGGGGGATCGAGAGATCCGAAAGCGAAAGGCGGTGGGGAAGTTGGGATATTGTTAGCCATGCTTTGTGGTCGGTCGCCTCTGCTTTTGCCTTAGCACTTACCTTTTAGCGCCTCAGCACCTTCGCTGCCAATATTGCTGCATTTGCCATCGGCGGCGCTGCCTGCGCACAGCTCTGCCTCGCTGCAGGTGACGTTGTTGGCATTCGAGCTTGTGTTGCCTTTGCTGCTCTCTTCGCCCAGCTGTTGTTGATACCGGATACGAATCTTGCGCTCGCGTCTGAACCGTTTCTGGTAGAGCACTGTAAAATGTTAAATAAGAAAAATCGAAGAAACAATCAGAAATATATTCAACATCCAATTCTCTCTACAGTTCGATAAGTTCGGTATTTACGATTTATCTTGTCACAATATATTTTGGGGGAATCGAAGAAGCTATCGAAAGTTTAACATAATAAAATAATTGGTTATGCTATGCAAGCACATAGGATTTTTTTACTTTATGACTCCAGCAAAGCGCAATGACCTCAATTTAATGCTTATATTTTTAAAAATTATTATAAAATAAATTATTATTATTACTATTATAATTATTTTTAACTTTATTATTATTTTAATTTTAATTGAAATTTTTAAGTGAGCCTTGCATCAAGTGCTTTGAGTGAATCCGCAAAGTCAAGGTTACTTAAAACTAAAATCACGGTTGGTTGACTTCACGCTCTTTTTTGTTCATGTTTATACAGTGCATATTTTACGGATAAAAACAGTTTATTTCGATCTAAAAATTTAATAATAAGAAACAAGCAACAGCCCCTTTTTCGCTGTTTTCTGTATTTAGATACGTATAGAAGAAATTACCCGTCGCCCGGGAATCAATTGAATAATGTTGAAAATGCAAGTGCAATTTTGTGCCAACTTCATTCATTAGAGACCCACTTTGAATGGCCACCACGGGTCTACGCATTCACACCACACCCGTCCCCCAGACAATCTGCTAATTACCAATCGACTGAACTCTTGCCCAGGTTATTTACCCGTGTGACCGCTTCATATCGGACCTAACACATTATCGGTCCCATTGCCCCCGTTGCGGCGCAATAATTAAACTAACTAGCTAAGAAACTCATTACTGCTCTAGTTGCTCATATTAATATTGCTTCATTTAAATTGTCCCTCCTCAACTGCACTAAAGAACAATACTCTGTTTAAATTATACTATATTAAATTATACTATATTAAGATTATACTATATTATGATCTTGAAAGGATCAAGCTCATACGGCTTGCAATGTGCAATTAGTCGTAAGAAACTCTTTTCTATCCATAGATGTGTTCAGTTCAGATTGGGTAATGAGTATCTGCGAGTCGATCCCTTGCCACTAGAACACTCTTGGTAAATAGCAATTGAGGGTTAGCTGTTCTTGCATTGATGCTGCTTGCAGATAATTGAACGAAATGGCAGAACCCCAAGAACTGAGGGATTCTCAATTGCATATCCGCCCGCGTGGGTGTGGAAGCGATTGCGCTTGCCGATTCTGATTTGGCGGCAGTTATATCATAGAAACAGAAACTGATTCAAGCACGATCGTCATCAATGAACACTGATCAAATCAGTCAACCGTGGTTGCGCAGCCATTTAAAGGGTGTATCGAATTCACATTGAATTCAACTTATTAGCCAATGGGATCGGCAATGCTTAAAGACCGACTGTGCAAAATTTTATGTGTTGCTCCGTTGCACTCGTTCTCTCCCGACAAACTTAAGATATTTATCGCTTGCTTTATTATTATGGGCAATTAGATGCCCGTGTGGCTTTTGCATAGTTGTGGTCATAATCTGTGTGTTGCCCGGCCCCAAACAGATTTCTGGTGGCTCCGACATGCATAAATGCAGTTCCATTAAAAGATTTATGTACCACTCTGAATGCGGATTTCAGAAAAGAATGGCAAATGAGAACAGAACTAAAGCACAGCAAGTGAGAAGTGAGAACTTTGCAGTCGGGTGCAACCGATCACATAATACTCTGTTTACAGAGCAATACGAGTGTTAACCAGTCGCATTACGAAATACCGATCCTTGCCCTACTCCTTGCCCTGCTCAGCGTATGCATGTTATAAGAAAAACTGATCACAATTACAGTTCAGAGTTAACAATTTCGGTAGCTAAATTGGCCTTTACCAGTTCATAAGTGCTATCCCAGGTGTCGGCGTCGAAAACTTAAAAGCGACCAAGAAGTGGGCCACACAGAAGTCATATTAGTAGTTATACGTACTAGTTAGCTATATTAGAGGCTAAATAATAATTGCGGCGTTTAGCAATTGTTAGTAATGTAGTTTTTGGCTTGGTATTGCTGTTTGGAGAGCTCGTAACTAGCAAATGGTAAAGCGTACTTTGAGATATATGTTTTGTACTCTCCCACATATCTACTTCCCACTCCAAACGCATGATATGGAAGTATGATATTTAATGGACCCCATAGTAATTGGCGGAACGGTTTCTTGTTTCAAATATGTATTACAATCAATGTAATGCAAAAATGTAGCTGTCCGCGCTGACACATTGCCAACTCACCCTTAACGTTTGTCTAGAGACGCTCACACCCACGATTCGACAACCCTTTTAGTCTTTTGGAGTCATCATAAACATAATAACAACCAATTAAAAGATCTTTGTGTGTGCGTCAAGTAAAACTTTTTGTCTGTAACCAAAAGCAACTCGAATTCCAAACTCAAAGCCCCCAGACCCCAGCCCCCACACCCCTTCCAGACATCTTCGTCTAATGATGCGGCGTCGTCGTCGTCTTCGATGTTACGTCGGAGTTGCTACTTTTTGCCAATCGCTCGAGTGTAACTAAATAATGAAATGATATTAAATTCATTTGAATTGTGATTTCTCTTGAAAAGGTCCCGGTACAGCAAAGAACGAAACAGAACGGCAGCTTCGGACTTAAAGCCTATTTTGAGTCCGGCGACAACCAGAACGACCACCAGAGCGCCGACAGAGAAAGACGAGCAGTGCGGAAGAGTGAAGCAGTCGACATATCAGGTGTCATTGTCATTTGAGTCAGTTTACATTAAGCGCACACGATTGGAGCTGGCATAGGCACTGGGAACAGCTCGCAGAAGGCCTGGTTCACTGTGAAAAGGGATTGGTGCCAACTCAAATATTGGGCAGAATTTATATGAAATTATGAATAGACATAAACTAGTTATCTACATTTGTGTGTATATACAAAGCACTGACTGACTGACTGATTGGTGACCAACTCACAGATTAAATGCCAAAAGCTAGAAAACTTCCTTTTAGGGCGAAGACAGCACAATTTGGGGTAAGTGAAGGTCACAGCTTGTCTGAGAAACATTTCAACAAAAGGAACCTGTGTAGTTGAGGTGTTTGCTCGTCGGCCTGTTCGAGAATTACAGCAAGCGACAGGGTTATACAAATATAGCTAAAATATGACAGGTTTGTTCAAATGCATAAAAAAGCAAAACGGGTCCTAAACTAAGCTCTCGTATAGTACAGTTCCCTGGTAAGGTACCAGAAACAGGATTATTATTATTTTTTTCACACTCTTTTAGAACTAAAGTGTTTAAAACTGAAATGGGAACTACTGAAATGCTGCTCTAAATATCGAACTCAGACAAATTTGTATTTTTACATACATACATATATAAGTTATTTTGCTTTACTAAAAATTGTATTCCGCAACTTTGATTTAATTTTGTATGAATTATTAGAATGTTTATAAAAGAGCTTAGTTATGCAAATAAAAACGTTTTATGCCATAAAATTATATCATATTATATTATATTGTCTTCCTTTTAAAAAACAAAAACCACACTTTTTAATATGTTCGTCGGCAAAGAAAAATCTAAAGACAGGCAAGCATAAAATAATTTGCAAGCAACATTGTGAGACCTGCTGCCAATTTTGTGATTTCAGTTAACTTTAGTAAATTTCATGCAAATATTTATTTCTTATTTGTTTGTGTACACAAGAAGATTTTAAATTCCCAATCACAGTTCAGAGATAAATTTACGTGTTTTTAGGGCCAGATCTCATGCGCAAGCTCGACATGAAAAATTCGATTTTTTTGTATATATCTACATATATATTATCATAGACTGGAAATTGCATTAATTTATGTTTTATTCTTACATGTGGCTAGTCTTACGCTACAAATTTTGATAAATCATTTATTTAATTTATTCATTTCAAATTTGAGCACCTACAATCAACTTTTATTCACAAAAATATTAAGAAGCACATTGTTCTAGCCAGAGACAGACAATATTCATTGTGAATCTAACGTGTGAACTGGATAAACAAATTATACGTTCTGTACAATCGATTAGGGAATGTATATATGTACGGTGAACTTTTGCAGTTTCTTATGGAATACGTCATAGATTAATTCAAAGAATAGTTTTAAACTTACCACGTAGCTTGCGCTCGTCGACAAGCTGACGTTCCAGGGAATCTTTAACCTCGCGTTCGCGTAGTACGTCCATCTTGAGCTCGGCTGTGGCGGGCATATAAAGAGAAAAAGAGAAAGGAAAACGAAAGAGAGGAGTGGAAAATTATTTCCGGTCACATACAACACGATTTACTTTGCATATGATAAAAGGTTTTCGCTATCCGTCAACTCACCTTTCTCATAACTAATCTGCCGTTCCTGCTGCCTGGCATTGTCTGCGGCCACCTTTAGGAGACTTTGTATGTTCCTCAGCAACGTTTCCGTGGAGCTTGCGGGCACAACGGCATGAGCATCGAGGCCGAGCGGACCCAGAGCCAGCCCGCCAGCCAGTGCAGCGGCCGCAGTTCCATCATTGGAAGCCAACAACGCCTCATTAGGCGTCAATGCCCCACCCCCGCCGGGTGAAGGCCCATTAGCTGCTGCCGCTCCGGCGGCGGCGCCTGCCGCACCATTGGCCACGGCAGCAGCAGCCGCTAGCTGGGAGTAGTTTAGGGCGCGCTGATGCTGCAGTGCTGCGGCGGCAGCTACATCGGCCGTCGGTGATCCATGCTGGCCGACCACGCCAAGATGATGCGCTTGCCCCGGATGATGGTGTGAGGCGACTGCAGCATGTTGATGCAAATGAGCAGCAGCTGCGGCAGCGGCGGCGGTAGCGGCCGCCGAACCCGTGGATAGATTATCACGCTCCGTGTCACTCAAGTCTGGCAAAAGACATACAAAGCAATCGGAGTCAGTCAGCCAGTCAGACTTTGTAAACGTTATTGTTTATCGCAAAGGCAAAGTTTACTCACCCTCGTCGTCTTTTGCCAAGCAGCGTTCATCGACTTCGGATTGGTTCTCATCGCTCAGATTCTCTTCCTCCTCGTCGTCCTCGACGCCAATTATGGGACCGCCGCCAACGCTACGGCTGCCTTCGTCTAGGCTGCGCGACCCACGCGGCGATGGCGCTGCCGAGAGACAATCGCTGCGGTCGCTGCCGGCGTCGCAGTTGCTGCCGCCATGGTCCGTGTTCCCGCCGGACTTGCTCAAGTTGAGAACTGGACTTTGGCGTGTGGGGGAGCCTGCAGGGTACGCAAATCGAAACAACTTATCAGCACTTGCCTCTCCAGCCACTGTCCATATATTCTCCTTACAATTGCGCGAGCTAAGATCCCTGGGCTTCAAGTCCCGCTCGTTCACAATACTCCCGCATCGGTCGACTCCACCGGCGCATATGGCCTGCTGTCTCTCATCCGTGCGCTCTTCGCGCAAGCGCTCTAAGTGCTTTACAATGTCCTCGTAGGCGGCACGGCAGTTCTCCCAGATGCCCGAGCGGGCCAGTGCATCCATACTGGCAGCCGACATGCCAGCATTTTGTGCAGCCGCCTTCAGCATTTGACTCTCTGGACGGGCATGGAGACCATGTGGAGGCATGCCAGGCGACATGAGTGCCGCCGCGCCAGGATGATGGGCATTAATTTGCATAAAGGCCATGTGGTTAATGGGCGGAGGATTATAGCCGTTGGCCAACAGCGGCGACTTTTCCATACGATTTATATCTGCAACATCATACAAGCAACATCGAATATATATGTAAAAACTACTTTATTTTTTGACTAATATGCACGAGCTCAAAATTAGTTCGAGCATCGTTTAACTGCAATCGAAACATAAATATTCTGCTGAGGGATCGAAAGAAATTACAAAACAATCTTGCTCTCCGAGCAAACACGAAAACGGGGTGGACCAAAGAGGAAAATCGAACATTTTCCAGCTAAATTTGGCTACATTCACAGATCGACAGCCGTAGATAGTTTAAATATAAAAGACATCTAAGCTTATTTAGCAATTATAAGACAATATCAAAACCAATTCACAGCAAAAAGCTAATTCGACCAAGCTCTATCCGTTTAAACAAATTTTCCCGAAATCGGATTTCTTACATTTCCAACCGATTGGGAGCTATTTTAGTGATCGGTTATCGGCTTGGCAGGGATATCTTATCTGTGAAAGCAATATGATATGATGTACATAGTTGTCTGATGCTGATAAAATATTTGTAGACTTGTTTGTATGGAAACAAGGAGAGGGGCATGGCAATATCAACGCGACTGACATCAACTAAGAACATATAATATAATAAGAACTTACATATAATATAATAAATAATATCATATAGCGATGCCAGCCGGCAGATTGGACTGAAGCAAAAAGACGAACTATGTCGACTTTCATCAAAATAAGTAGTTTGATAAATAAGACAGACAGATGGACGCTTGGAAATACCAACTTTTGACTAGAATAGAAAGGGATAGATACATTTGTACAGTGTATATTGCACGTACTAAATATTTCCAGAGTTACTTAACTGCATAGATGGGAAACACAGAATAGTTTTAGCGCTTTAAATTCTTAAATGCGGTTGCATTCGTTGGGAATAGTGCAATATCACTCAAAAATCAACGCCCCATAATTCACTCAGTATTTCCCAGCCGGCTTGTAGGGATTGAATGACTTGGCAAACATCTATTTCGAGTTCTCCATAAAGAGGCGCCGACGGCGCATGGTTCTAAAGAAAGAGCATAAGATCTTTTTGATATATGTGTCTGATATTGTGCTGTTGCTTCAGACACATTAATAAAATGGGGCGTGGTCGAACTTGTCAGATGCTTCAGGAATTCATAGAGGCTCAATATGTAAAAATCAATTAATTGTGCGCGTTACCTTAGAGGGCAAGTATCTTGAAGAACTTAAAATAATTACAATGCCTCCACATACAGAAACATGAAACTCGAAAACACAATTCGAGCAGCAAAAGCAACAATCATAAGTCCAAGTCCGAAGTCTCTTTGTAACTCTCTTAAATGCGATTTCCTGTACAAATCACAGTGGCGAGTCGGAACGTTTTCGATTTGATTGCTTGCCTTGGACAAATGGGCATTTATCTGAACTTGGAGCTGGGAACTGGCAACTCGCAACTGGCAACTGGCAACTGGCAACTGAGAGTTGGAAACGTGCAGAAAAGTTGTAGGTAAAACGAAACAATTGTGCATTGTGTATCTGTATCCGTTCGGCAAGTTATAATCAAGGCATCCACAAATCACAAATTTTCTTCATATTTTTTTTTGTTGCTACTTTCAATTGGCTGCACGAGTAGTGAAAACGAGTAGTGTAACAGATCCCCAGAGCGAGTTGGTTGCGATCCAAATGATTTTATTACCATTTCAAGTGCGTTTGGCAATTGCCAATCGATTTGTTCGCTGCCTGTGTGGATCGTGATTATGGCGCTGCCGACGGCCATAACAGATATTCAATAATTCGAACGCCCTGAAATTGGCTGGGAAAGCAACGACATATGCACGAGCAGCAACTAAATACAGATACGCTATAGTTAATGACTTTCTTTACTTACCACTAATATGGCCATTCTCATAGGCATAGTCACCGTTGTCCAGGCGATGCTTCTTCAGCTGCGGATGCTGTGTGAGATGCGTGGGCGGCAGCGATAGGCCAACAGGGCCACGTTTCGGTGGTCTACCCGGTCTGGAACTGCGGAATTGCAGAGAGTTACTGTTGGGTTGAAAGCAATGACAATTGGCTTGGTATCAGTATAAAGCAGCTGTAGCACACACCAAACGACGTGGGGTAGGAGAACAATAGCATTGCGCTCACTGGGATAATGGTTGGCTGTATTGTGCTGCATAGTTATGTTCAAAAGGTCTTGAGAGTTTCTACGAGCACTAACAACTATTTAGATTTATTATTAATAAATATTTAAATTCGTGTACGAGCCTGTGCTTAGCAGCGAGAAGTCAGCGGTTCAACTCTAACTTAATATAATTCACACAAGATATAGAATACTCAAACAGCTAGAACTTGTCTCTTTTGCTACTAAAATGCCCCAATTTTAATTATCTGCCATCAGAAACTATTCCTTAGCGATTTTTACCAGCAAATGCTATTATTTGTTTCTGAAATATTTAAATAAGGCTTGTGCAAATACTTGACGTATGCAAGATTAGTTACCAAAAGCCATAAACAAGTTTGCACAGCAGGCAGTCATGACAAACAAGTGATGCAGATAAAAAAACAAATATAAAACTGCGTCTGCCGCAAATACTCAGAAACTAGATGCAAATAGAGACCAAACGTGGAGTCAGATTCTCAACTATCTACAAAACACATGGGCGCAGCAGCGGACAACAACAATTAAACAATTACCCAAATTAAAAAAAAAAAGAAAAAGAAAAAAAGCGCTCCTACCTGCTGTTTACCTGTGGCAAACAGCAGGGCAAATAAACTGAGGTAGCAATGTGGGCACAGATTGAACAATTTATAATTGTGCGTGGGCCCAGGTGCTCCCCGATAGAGTTGCACTCGTACAGCGATTGCAAATATTTACAGTTATTTCAACAATAAATATCAATATTTGAGTGTAAGATCCAGCTCGAGATTTAATTGTGCAGCATAATAACAAAACACATACCGTTCGTAGACTCGGCCACGCGGGTCGTGTAAAGAAAGCCAGAAAGCCAACTACCAATGCGAGGCACTGAACAGAAGCGTGGCTAATAAAAAAAAATCAAAAGCCCAAACGTCATCAGCGAAAGTGTTTTTTTGGCCCAAACGGATGCCGTACCTGTCACTGACGTGCAAAACATGCGAGCCATCTGGTTGTGTCAGTCAAGGTAATGAATTTATGAAAACTAGAAGAAAGAGACAACTCGAGCAAACAAAAACAACATCTCCAAGCAACACTCTGCTTGGACCCTGGAAACAGGGCCAACGATAAGCGGATGCTTCATACCAGCTGCCATTGGAAAAGTTCTTTCGGGCAACTGTCTGCTGAGATTGAAAGTGCATACATTTGTCTTTTTGCTTTTTGCTTTTCGTTTTCCTTGAAATGTGTCATTTGTATACTGCGCGGATAAGATTGCACGGTTTGCATCGTTACAATACATCTATTGTGCTCTAAATAGGCAACAATTTTCAATCGAGTTGCCGAACTTGGCTTTCTAGAGTGAGAATGCAAAGACACCAGAATTTTTCTAATTTGATATACATTTAAACTTAACTTTCTTATTTGTCTTTCCTTTGCCTCATTCCCCATTTTGCTACCAGCAAAATGTATAAAGATACATCCATTTCGGATTTGTCTCATTAACCTCAAGCTGAGTATACAATATTCTGCATTCCAATCTTACCATCCAACTAACTAACTAAAATGTTCTCGATCTTCACAGATACGAAAAACTAGTATGAAAGCCGTCGGGTACAACCGACTGCACAATATTTCGTTTACAATGAACAGAATTTTGAACTCTCTTGACAATTTTGTAAATGACTTTCAAGCGAGGAACTATTGATTATTGTAGCTGTTTGATTCGATTCGATTCTTTTAGAAGAATCGGTTAAGAAAATATGGGATACACAAAAGTTTCTAGCCTTAAAAGAGTCAAAAAAGTGCCAGATGTATGCTCAGTAATGTCAGTATATGAATATAATTGTGTTCACTTTGTAAACAAGTATAAAGAGAAGACATGTCCAGTGAGGAATCAAAAAGCAACTAAATTCTTTACAAAATAAACTCCACAGTTTTGTGTTTTTTTATCTATAGAGATTTGTCATACAAAGTCCTGAGAAATTAAAAATTGGTTCACATAAAAACTCTGTCTTCGGGCGATTGTTCCCATTTGATATAATAATGAGACCTAATGAGACCCTGAGTATGAAAGGGCGAGCAGAGCTATCTCGAGTCGGCTGATACAGATCGGGAAAGAAAAGCGTTATGTGCTGCCAGCTTGAGCTGAAGATAAAACATTTTTTGATTATGCACTTGACTGCGGACTTAACCCAATTTAAGTGCAGCGACTCACTTGAAATAAAACCCATATACATATATATATATATGTATATATGAATATATGTGAAAACAAACGTCTAGTCGGGAAGAAACAACAAAAGCATGCTGTACACGATGCAAACAGGTTCGCAGTGGCTACTTATAACTTCAGCAATTTGCTCGGAGGGCGTTTAGCTGCCAGAGCGAACCAGTTTGCAGCTGTGTTTCGCCGAGTGTATTTCAATAATCAAGGGATAGCCGATCTGTTAAACATTGAATTGTGGCACTCGCCGTCGAACCGATCGAGTCCTGGCTCGAAAAACTGCGCTAAATGCGCGACTTGGCAAGTTATTCGCATGAGACCCAAAAACATTGCTGCAACTGCAATTGCTGCAACTGCAATTGCAACTGCCTAAACTGCTGGGCGTCGCCAACATTTGTCATCAGTGCTTCCACGGGCACAGAACAGCGAGTCAGGCAGAGATCTCATAGTTTTTGTTGCAAGTGCATTTGTCGTTTTCCAATTGGCAAATCAATTAAATTTATTGCTGCGTTGCCACCTCACATTCGAGCGTTTGATTGCTGTGGAATCAATGGAACGTGGCCAGCCGCCAATTAAGCGCCAGCGAAATTTCCATATTTCAATTATGCAATGCTCGGTCTGGGGCTGGGGCGGGTGCTTTAATTGAATATGCGATTGAAATGGATTTTGCAGCTCGATTGTCTTTGAACCAAGACTCTGGACTGGATTTCTGAGAAGAAGCCGTGGCCTTTTGAAGTCGACTCGAATTTCTGCAACGACGATAACCCAAAGACAGTTCACGTTTAGCATTAGAATAACCATGGAGTTCCTTACGCAACAATCAAGCTCAGTTTCAATGCCTGTCCAACTGGGAATTCGCTGTAAATCGACATGCAAATGCACAAATGACATGCCATTCACATGTGCCTCCAAGAATGCATACGGAAAAGGGGACAGATACACAACACTAATTGTGGGCTCGAGCTCAGCGAATTGTGGCCAGTGGAGAATACAAAGTGCCGAGTAAAAAACAAAATGCACTAGTTGTGCGCTCTTTTTGCCAATTGGCAACATTCATAAATATCATTCGCATGGACATGCAGCTACAGACAGATGCAACTGCATTTACAGTTTCAGTTTCAGTTAACAAAAGCTTACAATTTTCCCTGACAATAACGTCAGCTATTAGCTTGCCAAATTAATCGAATCACTTAGCATTTGCATAGAGAGTCGAGCTAGGGCCAATCAGGTTTTTTTGTGGAGCAGCTATTTGATAAATTGAGAAAACTACATACAGGCAGGGAACTGTAATTAAGAATTTCGGCTGACTATTTCTTGGGACGTCTATAATTTTTTACAATTTTGTTTCTCTCACAGGCCAGCGAGTACGCGTAGCTCGAGGCTAGTCGCTTTTCTTGTTGCTGTTGATGATTTCTGTTGACTTCAATTTTCAATTGGCGTGCTAATAACTCATTTAGTTCGCATACTGAATTACAAGCATGCTACGTCGTCGGGTGTCGTGTTTCTTACAAACTGCTCAGCCCGCTGCTAGTCAGGCATTCACCGAGCCTCCTCCTCCGCCGTACTCTACCAGGTAATGTAGCCTGTCAGTTGAGTCAGTCGCCTCGCTTGCAAGTGCTCGCGATGCTAAGAGAATATTAGCCGCGTTTTCCTTCTTTTTATTATTATTTTTTCTCTGTTTTTTTTTTTCTGTGTTTTTGGTGGCGCTGTAATTATTTATTATAAAAATAAATTGATCTATTGTTGCTTCATTTATACTAACAACAATGTTGCTTTTGTTTTGTTTTTTTGTTACACTCAATTAAGTAAGCATTTGAGAAATGCAAATCGCAATCATCAACAACAGTAGACTGAAGCTTGCATCTCACAGACAGCGAAACGGGAAAATTTCTATATATTTCGATTTAATTCATAAACTTATTATGTGTACACCCTGTACCCATGGGCAAGACGGGTATATTTAACAAATGGAAATATCTCTGGCTTTTACTCAGTAGAACAAGTTTGAACAAATATTTGAGAGCATCTTTCACATTCTCAAAATCAACAAATATCTGAACTAACGGCCTAACATATTAGTTCAACTCGGAAATACTATAAAATTAATAACAGACTAAAATATGGGAAGTCATTTAAGAACGAATTTCAGTAGTTTTAAGCTACATGCAGAGCATGCTTTATAGGGGTTAGGGTATCTTCAAGTTCAATGTAGAATTTTGGTTTCTTTTCTAGCTTGTGAATTTCTTCTAAATTTGAAAGGTTGTATTTTTGAGGTGATTGGTTGGTTTTCACAATATTTTCATATAAATTCATATATTACGTTAATTAGCTGTCACAATTAGTTTGCCGTCGTCATTAGTAGTAAATATTTTCGCAAATTAAACTTTATTTAACACACGTTAACAGTTAATATGGTCCTTTGCAGCAGAGTAAATTGATAGAGAGAAAAAAACAATTTGTGTGTTTTGTCTCGAAATGAAAATCAATATTATGCCAGTCCATGGATGTAAACTTAGATGGATGTAATATTGTGCATGCCAAGCAAATCGAATTTAGTCAAAAGGTGTGCCCATCAAGTTGACTAAAGCACATTGCATTGATCCCCAAGCAAATGTGGCCCCGCCTCAAAAGTCACTTTGTGGATGCCGCGCGGCGACTCTAAACGGCGTTTTGGTCAAAGAGACAGCTAACCGTCACATGAGATCAAATTCAATATCAATTTGCCGGAGCAGTACCCAGCGCATTCGCAAATCAATCTCGATTGAAGCAACTGACAAATTGACTGACTGATGGACTGATGGACTGACGGACTGACGGACTGATGGACTGACGGAATGCCTGGCTGACTGAGGGAGTGAATAAATTTGCGGTCCCAATAGTCTTGGAATAACAATCGCGCAGAGTTTCTAAGCGGGGCACAACAAACAAATTAAAGAAAAATGTCTTACAATAAAGCCTCGACAAAAAGGCAAACAAATATAATAAAAAGTATTGCAAAATAACACAAAACGGATGAGCTCAAGAGTATTTTAGAGTGAAAAATAAAGACATATTCAAAAACTTTCTTTCTTTTTTTTCATATTGCTTCATAAACCACCGACTGCGGCCATACTCTTTCTCAACTGGAACGACATCTGTTCGCGTTATCCTTATTAAAAAAGTATATAAAAAAAAAGCATATTGACATGCTCTATTTGTTTCATTTGAAGGTCCTAACACTTCCGCCTGACGGACGCGGACGCGGACTCGGGGCTCGGCCCATTTCCGCATTATGCAATTAATTTAATAACAAATATTTTTTCGCTCTAAAAACTCTCAAGTGCACACAGAACGCACATCTCTTGTACGATTGATTTTTGATCATTTCAACAGATTGCCATAGTTTTTTATTATACTTGTGTGTTTACCTCTCTGGCGGCTTGATCGATAGGCATCTGCAATTAAAAAGAGAAGAACAAGAGAGACAAGTGAAGTATCGTACTATAAAAAACAATTGTTAAGCGTTGTGTGTAAGCTTCGCCAAAAAAATAAAAAGAAGAAGAATGCAAATAACGGAAAGCAACCTAATAATAAAAAAAAAGAAACAACTTGGGAATTATGTTTTTTTTGGTTTTTTCATTTATGTATGTACACATGGCGGGCGAGCGGGTGTGAAAATGCACACGCCTCTGCCCTCGGTCCCGGCCCAGGTCCGCGCAAGCAGCAACAACTACACTTTATAATTACCCTAGCTCACAGAAAATAAACGCAATGGGGTGCAACCTGCCCCGGCCCCAGCCCCGACCCCGACCCCGACCCCGACCCCGGCTCCAGAACCAGACAGCCAGGCTCTATAAAACTGCCAACAGCCAACTGCCAACTGCCTTTGGCAGTTTATGGACTCGCAGCATTTTGGCTTTACCCTTTTTGGTCAGTTTGTGGACTCGGCCGACTCGTTGTTTCGGTTTCTGTCAGCGCCCAATTCTTTAGTTGTTTCAATTTTACGCAGCTCTTTCAGGCTAATAATAGGTTTAACCGCATTTTTAACTGTTCTTCAATTGGTTGAGCGCATTCTGGCCCGGGACGCGGGACACGGGACTCGGAGCTCGGCCCTTGGAACTGGGCTCAGCGCATGTGCACTTTGTGGACGGGCGGGTGGGCAGAGAGCAGCACTCTTTCCATAATTAACTATATGGTTTTTCATTGCGATTCTCGTGGTTTCTTGGTCAGGCACAGAACACGTTGAAACCAAAAAACTGTCCAATTAAATGTGTTGTCTTATTTCTGTCCATTTCGTTGGCTGTGCGAAACATAGAAAAATGCATATTCATGATTGGAAAATAGGTAAGAGATCAACATTTTTTAAAGGTTTGATCTATGAAGCACTAGTTTGAGTGCATATCAATGTTATTCCTCGAAAAATGTGCATAGCCCCATATTCAGATACTTTTGTCTAACATTTAAATAGGTAAAAGATAGAAATTTAAGGAGGTTTGATTTATGAAGAAGTATTATGTGCATACGAGTGCAATGTTTAGCCAAACGTATTATAAGTAATAGAAAAATTAGCCCCATATTCAGATACATGCACATGCTAGTATCTGGGTTAAGGCAACGTTTGGTTGTTGCTGTTGTTTATAATCGAACGGAAATGCTTTGACAAGGCACCGCACGCGTCGAATGTTTTATGTTTTTTGCTATTTGTTGCAGCTACAACAGGAGGACAGGAGGACAGGTGGAGAAGAGGTGAAAACTGTTGGCAAACTATTGTTAGAATCGTTCACAAATTTACGCAACTGTGATGTGCGCTGTGCTGTTCGTTAACAATTGGCTGCAAAGGTGCAACGAGGTGCAACTGCTGTCAGTTGGGTATTGTGAGTTTCGATTTGACGGGGCGCGGCGGGGCGGGGCCGTGATACCGTTTGCATTGCGTATTTCCGCCAAATGTCATCAGAGTAAAGTTTCTTGATTAGTTGCGCGATGTAGTCGGTGGCCAGAAGTCAATCGATATCGATACACCGATTCCAAACTATTTGCACAGCCAATGCGTTTCTCTATCCCCGAGCTAAGGAGCAGGCAGTTGTGTGAAGTGAGGAAGTGGGGGAAGGGGCATGATTGTCTCACGCAACGGAAAGCGGAACTCGAACAGGAAATAGGCAAAAATTTAACAATTTCGTATTCGCATTCGCATTCGTACCTGGCAGTAGTGCAGTCTCTGTAGAGCACATCAAAGTCCTTACAGCTGAGCAGCTTGCAGCGATTGACGCCCGGCTGGATGGCGCCCAGACCACGCAATATGCGCACCTGCTCCACATTGCACACAAGCGGCACAATGTCCAGTCGCTTCAGTTTAGTGTAGACCGTGTGCAGGCCACCGACCAGGTGCTTGAGAAAGAGCTCAAAAGCCTGCGGCAGGCACAGCATTGTCTCATTGCTGATTATAAAGGCGGCCACCTTCTGGCCGCGATACTCGACCAGCTTGCACTCATTGGCGCTGGGATCCGAGGTGGAGATGGGCGGCGGCGAGTTGTACGAACGTGGCGGCACATGATGATGCGCCGCGGCCATCAGCTCCAAGGGCGACGCGTGATGCATCATCTGCAGCGAGTTGAGCAGACCCAGCGAGTGCGGCGGCAAGCCGTGCGGCATGCGTGGCGCCAGGCCCGTGCCCAGCGCTCCGGCGACATGCGGCGGCGGACTGAGCTGATGATGTTGCTGCTGCTGCTGCTGTTGCTGCTGCTGCTGTTGTTGCTGGGCCATTTGCGCCATCATCGAATGGTTCAGGGAGCTCACCGGACTGACAGCGCTGCCATGGCGCGTGGGACTGCTGGCCGGGGAGCAGCTGGAGCCGCGTCCATTGCCCGTGTGTGAGCTGCGTCCATTTGGCCGTTCGTCTCCGGCTCCGCGCGAGCTGTTGCTGCCGTCGCGGCAGCCATTCTGTTGCTGTTGCTGTTGCTGATGTTGTTGCTGTTGCTGCTGTTGCTGCTGCTGCTGCTGTTGTTGCTGTTGGGCTGCTGCTGCTGCAGCGGCGGCCGCTGCTGCCGCCTGCTGCTGCTGCTGGTGATGCATCAGCATCGCCGTCGTGTTCATGTTGCCGCTGACCAGAAGCTTGTGTGCACTTATGTTGCAGTTGCCGTAGCTTTGCTTGCTTTGTTGGCTGTGATTGTTGTTGATTGCTGTTGTATTGTTGTTGTTCAACGACCGTTTGTCGGCTTGTTGTTGCTCACTGAATTCACTTGTCACGGATTGGCTATTGACACTGACAGTATCCATGCTTCGTCATTGGCTAACAAATTTTTTCGTTTGCGGTTTCTCGCTTTCAGTATTATTTTTGTTAAATAGCGCGTTAACCTGTCTTTGAGCTCACTAAAAAGAATCAACGCACGCGTGTTTAGATAATTAATGAACGTTTAATTCGTTTTTAATTATTGTTTGGATCTTTGACGTTTTTAAAACTCTATAGCCATCATAATTGTTATCTGCTGACCATTCGAGATACAAATAAAATACGCATGTGTTTGTGTTTATTAGCTTTTGCCAAAGTTCGCATTCAATTTGAATTCTCAATGGTATTCTTGCTACGATTAATGAGTTTTTTTATCTAATAAACTATACAATTTTGTTTTTGAAAAGCAATTTAGAATCTGAATAATTTACGAAATAATTGATGACAAAATTAAAATATATATTTCAAAAGCACATAAGTAAACACAATAAAAATAATATTTAAAACATTACAAATTATATTTTTAAAAATCAAGTTCACAAATAAATTTTGTCATTATTTTGTAGCAGTTTATTTGGCTGTGTCAATGTTTACATATATTCTACTAATTTATCCCGTTATCTGAAAACACGTGCCACAATATATGCATTTTTATGCGCTAATTTTGAAATATAATATATTGTTTGTTTTTCCAATTCATTTATTTGTTCAGAGATTGGCATTAATCCTTATGTCCTCAAAAGAAATTTACCTATTTAATCTTGGTTTTAATTTAAATTGTACGCACTTTTTTTATATTTGCAAAATACTTTTTAGTAGTTTTAATATACTTTCGTCAATAACATTTACAATCCAACCGAATTTGAGATGCGTTTTCATAAATTTTCAATAAAATGATTTTATCATCTTTTCACAAATCAGAATGCAAATCAACACCGAGTCAGCTAAACGCCAATTGGGCGAGGGAGAGCACGTAACCGTTACTCGTTACCGTACCGACGGCGCGTCACTGAGCTTTTGGGGCCATTTGCTGCCGCTGAGGCCACGAGCAGCACACGAGAGGACTACGACGACAACTGAGACTGCAAGAAATCAACGAAACGAATTGCATTCGAAAGGGAATCGTCACTCACTCGCACAACCTCCCACACACAAAGACACATTAATTGGTAAAGCCGCTGTTACGCGATAGACAGAGAGAGAAAGAGCGAGAGCGAGCGAGCACACACACACACACACACGAATCGAATGTTATTTTTTTATACACCCACACCATGCGGCGCTGGCGCTCCGTTATGTACCGAGGTACATTTTCGTCAACGATGTCGCGAGAGTCGAAAATGGAAATGCGCGCGCAAAACTTTTATTGCATTACCTTTGCTTACGAATGACAAATTCGTAATGAAAGGCGAGCCAAATGTGTTTCGTTTCGTTGCCAGTTTCCAGTGTTCGAACCAAGCCTCGGCGTCCGCAGCGCCAGCAGTAGTAGCTGCAGCCCCATCTACGTTACATATACATGTACGCAATCCGATGTATGTGAGCCTGTGTGTGTACGTGTTTGTGTGTGTGTGTGTATCTGCGATTGTGCAAAACCCGAAACGATATGTATACGAATGCGTTGCTGTTTGAATTGTACACCAATACAAACAAAAAGTGGGAGTGGTATACAATAGTTACCTCTGTCTGTGTATGTCTCTGAGGCTGTCTGGCTTTGTGCGCTTGTGTTAGCATCCCCGAAAACACAATGACAAACGTAATAAAATACAAACAAAAACAAACACAAACGAAATGAAACACAGAAGCAGAAAAGACAGAACGAGAACGATGGCTGAGACGGAAGAAAATTAGCAGCAGCAGCACTCACACATATGCATATCTATATGTATACGTACATACATTGACGGCGCTCTCTCACTCATACTATACCGAAAGAACAGCACTGACGCTGACGCTGACGTTGCTGTCGCCGCCCTATACAATACGGTAACATTCGTTTTATTTATTTTTTCATTTCGTTTGTTGGCTTGGCGTTTTTTGATTGCGACGATTTCATTTCATTTGCGTTTCAATTTCATTTCGTTTCAGGCAACAGGGCGCATTCTCTTTCTCTCTCTCTCGTTTCTTCTTATTATGCTGCAAGCACCGCTCTCGCTTACACATCGCGCACATACAACGAACACACAGAGCAGGTGGCTTGCAACCAATAAACATGAGGGAGCGTGAGCGACATATTTACATATTTGCATTGTGTGTGTGTGTGGTTGAAGTGAGCGCTGCCCAGTAGCGCGCACTCACTCACTCCAATGGCCGACATCGCTTATATAAACAAATGACAATTGTTTTGCATTTCTGTTCGTTGGCTGTTTTTTTCTTTTCTTTATGCCAGAGTAAATTAAAATAAATGCATTGCATTTGCAAAAAACTTCGTGTACTCCCGACGTTAAACTTCGATCTCGACTCCGACTTGGTGGCAGCAGCAGCAGCTTGTGCGCAGCTGCTTAGCGAACTCCTTTTGCTTTATTTTTGTTAGCTACACAGCTCATTTTCTTATTGGAAAAGCATTTTAATTTCAATTAAAAAAGTAAATGACAAAGTTTTTCGTCCCCCACCCCACTGAACCTACACACTCAATTGCCATTACCCTATTCTTATTAAGCCCAACTTTTGGGTGTGCGAGCGAGACAGCTGCTGCTGCTCGGAATGATGTCCATCTCATATATTCAATGTTTTTTATGCTATTTGTGGGTTTGTCAACCGTTTCCCTTTTCGTTTCTCATTCGTTTCACTTTTTCCATTTCGTCTTCGTCGTCGCATTTATATTTCTTGCAATTTTTTGCTTCGATTCTGAACAGTTCGGCAACAGTCTGCCGCCGTCCTGCTTGCACTCATCTGCGCTTTAAACTTGCACTGTGTGCGCGAGTGTGGAGCTAGAGCAGGAGTTGGAGCCCTGAAGTACGAATGTTAGACTTTTGGGGCTGGCCTGGGGCGCTTATACTTATAATAAAATACCAAATACTTGTCGTTGTCGCACCTTTTTGGCATCTTTTGATATTTACATATACATACATATGTATTCGGTTTGTATGTAGTTATGTACATACACACGCATATGTACAACCCATACATATAATATGAAATGCATGTATATGTACGACTGTATTTGTGTACACAGCGTACATGTGTGTATGTGTGTATGTGTGTATGTTTGGCGTTAATGCGGTGGCTTCTCTTCTCTTTTATTCTATTATTTGTTCCCCGTGGCTGCCGATGGCGATTCTTGCTGTTATGTGTTTGTGTATCTTATTCAATTTCAGTTGGCACCACCAATCGGAAATCGTTCTCTTCTCATTGCTCTGTTTTTGAGAAGTTTTTTATCTCACATTCAAGCATGTTTATGTACATGCGAATGTATTATGTGCATACATGAATGTATATGTGTATGTAGAAACACAGATGTGCTTATGTATTTGTACAAATACAAAGTGTACGTGTGTACATACATAAATAAAAATCCATTCTCAAAATAATAATACGTACCTTAGCTATTCTTTAAGCTTAAATATTTAATTAAAACGATTATGAAACAACTTTTTTTCGATTAACATTATGTTCATATATTAATTCCTTCAAAAACAAGAACATAACGGAATATTCAGTTTCAATTAAACTTTGAAATCTTAATTTAAATAAGTTGAGCAAAAAAAATGTATATATACACATATTTATAAATAAAATAAATTTAAAATATTAATAACTATTGTTTTAATATTTTTATACTCTTGCTTCTTATTTAAGTTTTTTAAACAAAAAATCCTAACTGGGCAATACTATTACCAAAGTTAACCTAAGACTCAAGGCTCAATGACTTGGCCAATTCAGCAGGGTCACATTTTTGTCTCAGAAAATTAGGGTACATAGGGTATATATTATGCGAAATTATGTTATCGGCAGCTAAATCGAGACATCTAAACATTCTGTTGTTTCTCTATAATAAGTTCTCTCTGTTAGCATGATGTCTATGATATCTACAATTGTATTTAGTCTTCGGGAATCCAGAGCAGATAGTTTCTAAAGAGTACAAACAAAACCTTGGCCTGATTATGGTCGCAAACCATTTCTAATTGGCCTGTTTTCTCTGTTGCCCTATCAAAATGACTGACTAGCATACACCCTGTATTAAGCGCATTCAAACGCATTCAAAATGCATTCCATGCAAACACAAAACCGCACAAACAGGACACGAGTCCTTCAAAAATGGAAAATTACAACTTTGGATGGAACATACGAATTTATCCAAGAAATGAAATATTATAGATCTCTGGCTTCCTTTCGAAAACAGCTCTTACTGCTTGGGCTGTGAATTGATCAATCAGTCAATCAGTCAGTCAGTTTTTTTCGCTTAATTTCCACTCGTTTCCTGCCCGAGAATAATTTCGATCTGCAAATAAATGTTACAGCCAACAAAAACTTGTAGAAAAATTATTTCGAAACACGTTTTCTCAAAAACTCAGCTCAAAACTGAAAAATAAAACTTGACATCCATTTTCCATCCAGCAGATGTGGATTTTACAAAAAGTGTGAAACACTTTTCCACGGCGTAAAGTCAAAGAGACGGGCACAGGGTATAAAAACGTCGTTTTTATTCAAAAATCATGCATTGTTGATAAAACAAAGTTTAAATTGACAATAAAAAATCAAATATGTCGTGATCAGCCCAGCTAAATTCAGGCGAGATTTTTGAGGATGCCAATTCCCGTGCTGGCCATTTCCGAAATTCCACTTAATCTTGTGAGAGATTGAACTCTTTAAAAACCGATCTGATTATTAGAAGGATTAACTAATGTAAGGCTATGTAGAGGCGGTTGTCAAGGCGTGAATCGTTCGTAGAATCTCCTCTATCGGGGAAGACTATATTGAAGGGCTTAGTTCTTTGCTTGGGGTTTCCTCCAAAGAGGATGCTCTCAATTTTTTCACAAGGTTCATGAAACAATATTAAGTATGACGTCTAGTGAATCAGTGGGTTTTCGTCGTAGAGATTCTTCTTTGTCACAAAGAGA